CACACTACTGAACACGCAATGGATCATTGAAGAAATTAAAGAAGAAATAAAAAAATACCTGGAAACAAATGAAAATGATAGCATGCCATACCAACTCGTATGGGATACAGCAAAAGCTGTATTAAGAGGAAAATTCATCGCAATACAGGCACATCTTAACAAACAAGAAAAATCCCAAATAAGCAACCTTAAAGCACACCTAACTGAACTAGAGAAAAAAGAACAAATGAAGCCCAAAGTCAGCAGAAGGAGAGAAATAATAAAAATCAGAGCAGAAACAAATACTATTGAAACGAAAAAGGCAGTAGAAAGGATCAATGAGACAAAGAGCTGGTTTTTTGAGAAGATAAATAAAATTGACAAACCACTAGCCAGACTTACAAAGAGAAAAGGGAGAAAGCTCAAATAAACAAAATCAGAAATGAGCGAGGAGAAATAACAACAGACTCTGCAGAAATACAACAGATTATAAGAGAATACTACAAAAAACTATATGCCAACAGAATGGATAACCTAGAGGAAATGGATAAATTCTTGGACTCCTACAATCTCCCAAAGCTCACTCAAGAAGAGGCAGACAAGTTGAACAGACCAATCACAAGGAAAGAGATTGAAACAGCAATCAAAAACATCCCAAAGAATAAAACTCCAGGACCAGATGGCTTTCCTGGGGAATTTTACCAAACTTTCAGAGAGGATTTAATACCTATCCTTTTCAAGCTATTCCAAAAAATTAGGGAAGATGGAACACTTCCTAACACATTCTATGAGGCCAACATCACGCTGATACCAAAACCTGACAAGGACACCACGAAAAAAGAGAACTACAGGCCAACATCACTGATGAACATAGATGCAAAAATTCTAAACAAAATTTTGGCAACCAGAATTCAGCAATTCATCAAAAGAATCATACATCATGATCAGGTGGGATTCATACCAGGGACACAGGGATGGTTCAACATCCGCAAATCAATCAACGTGATGCACCACATCAACAAACTGAGGAATAAAAACCACATGATCATCTCAATAGACGCAGAGAAGGCATTTCACAAGATCCAACAGCCATTTATGATAAAAACTCTGAACAAAATGGGCATAGAAGGAAACTACCTCAACATAATAAAGGCCATATACGACAAACCCATAGCCAACATCATACTCAATGGGCAAAAACTGAACACCATCCCCCTGTAAACAGGAACGAGACAAGGATGCCCTCTATCACCACTCCTATTTAACATAGTACTGGAGGTCCTGGCCAGAACAATCAGGCAAGAAAAAGGAATAAAAGGAATCCAAATAGGGAGGGAAGAAGTGAAACTCTCGCTGTTTGCAGACGACATGATCTTATATATAGAAAACCCCAAAGAATCCATTGGAAAACTGTTAGAAGTAATCAACAACTACAGCAAAGTTTCAGGGTATAAAATCAATTTGCATAAATCAGTAGCATTTCTATACTCCAGTAATGAACCAACAGAAAAAGAACTCAAGAATACAATACCATTCACAATCACAACAAAAAGAATAAAATACCTTGGGGTAAATTTAACTAAGGAAGTGAAGGACCTATATAATGAAAATTACAAGGCCTTTCTGAGAGAAGTGGATGACGACATAAGGAGATGGAAAGACATTCCATGTACATGGATTGGAAGAATAAACATAGTTAAAATGTCCGTTCTACCTAAAGCAATCTACAGATTCAACGCCATCCCAATGACATTCTTTACGGAATTAGAACAAAGAATCCTAAAATTCATATGAGGCAACAAAAGACCCCGAATTTCTAAAGCAATCCTGAGAAAAAAGAACAAAACGGGAGGCATCACAATCCCTGACTTCAAGACATACTACAAAGCTACAGTAATCAAAACAGCATGGTACTGGTACAAAAACAGGTGCACAGATCAATGGAACAGAATTGAAAGCCCAGAAATAAAACCACACATCTATGGACAGCTTATCTTTGACAAAGGAGCTGAGGGCATACAATGGAGAAAAGAAAGTCTTTTCAAGAAATGGTGCTGGGAAAACTGGAAATCCACATGTAAAAGAATGAAAATTGACCATTCTTTTTCACCATTCACCAAAAAAAACCTCAAAATGGATCAAAGACCTAAAAGTGAGACCTCAAACCATAAGGCTTCTGGAAGAAAACATAGGCAGTACACTCTTTGACATCAGTATTAAAAGGATCTTTTCAGACACCATGCCTTCTCAGAGAAGGGAAACAACAGAAAGAATAAACAAATGGGACTTCATCAGATTAAAGAGCTTCTTCAAGGCAAATGAAAACAGGATTGAAACAAAAAAACAACCCACTAACTGGGAAAAAATATTTGCAAGTCATATATCTGACAAAGGCTTAATATCCACAATATATAAAGAACTCTCGCAACTCAACAACAAAACATCAAACAACCCAATCAAAAAATGGGCTGGAGACATGAACAGACATTTCTCCAAAGAAGATATACTGATGGCCAATAGGCACATGAAAAGATGCTCATCATCGCTGATCATCAGGGAAATGCAAATCAAAACTACACTAAGATATCACCTTACACACGTTAGAATGACAAAAATATCTAAAACTAACAGCAACAAATGTTGGAGAGGTTGCTGAGAAAAAGGAACCCTCATACACTGCTGGTGGGAATGCAAACTGGTGCAGCCACTATGGAAAACAGTATGGAGATTCCTCAGAAAATTAAAAATAGAACTACCATACGATCCAGCCATCCCACTACTGGGTATTTATCCAAAGAGCTTGAAGTCAGCAATCCCAAAAGTCCTATGCACCCCAATGTTTATTGCAGCACTGTTTACAATAGCCAAGACATGGAAGCAACCTAAGTGTCCAGCAACAGACAAATGGATAAAGAAGATGTGGTATATATATATATACAATGGAATACTACTCAGCTGCAAAACAGAACAAAATCATTCCATTTGCAATAACATGGATGGACCTTGAGAGAATTATGTTAAGTGAAATAAGCCAGTGAGAGAAGGATAATCTGTGTATGACTCCACTCATATGAGGAATTTAAAATTACGGACTAAGAACAGTTTAGTGGATACCAGGGGAAAGGTGGGGTGGGGGTGGGCACAAAGGGTGAAGTGGTGCACCTACAACACGAATGACAAACATTAATGTACAACTGAAATTTCACAAGATTGTAACCTATCAATAACTCAATTTAAAAAAAAAAAGAAACTAAAAAAAAAAAAAGAAATGTTTTTTAATGTTAGAGGACTTATATTACCTGACTGTCAAGATGGACAAATAGATCAATGGAACATAATAGAGAATCCACAAATAAACCTAGACATTTTTAGTCAAAGATTTCTTAGTTACAACACCAAAATATCAATCTACAAAAGAAACATTTGTTAAATTGGAGTTCATCAAAATTAAGAACATTTGCTCTTTGAAAGACACTGCGAGAATGCAAAGAAAATGTTTGCAAACCATGTATCTGATAAAGTGCTTGTGTCCAGAGCAAAGAACTCTCAAAAACCAATAAGAAAATAACTCAAAATGGGCAGGGAATTTGAACAGGCAATTTATCAAAGACATACCAATGGCAAATAAGCACATGACAAGGTGTTTAATATCATTAGTCATTAAGGAAACTCAAATTAAAACCACAGTGAGATACTACTACACACCAATTAGAATGGGTGAAATTTAAAAAGGTGATCACACCCAGTAGGGGGGGGGGGGGGGGGGGGGGGGGGGGGGGGGACGACGGACGGACAGACGGACGACGGGGACTGGCCCTCTCCTCCCCAGCTGGTAGGAATTCAAAACGGTACAACCGCTTTGGGAAGCAGTTTGGCAGTTTCCTAACCAGTTTTAAGCACACACCTGCCATATGACCCAGCCATTCCACTCCTCGGCATTTACCCAAGAAAAATGAAAGTATGTATCTACACAAAACCTTGTATGCAAAAGTTCATAGCACACCGTAATTATGTTGAGTGAAAGAAGTCAGACACAAAAGGAGTACGTACTGTATGATTTCCATTTACACAGAATTCTGGAAAATGCAATCCAATCTGGAGTGACCAGAAGCAGATCAATGGCTGGCTGAGGACGGAGAAGGAAACTTTTAGGGGTGATGGATATGTTCATGATCGTGATAGTGGTGACGGTGGCAGGGGAGCACACATGTCAAAACGTAGCAAATTGTACACTTTAAATACGTGCGGTTTATTGTAGGTCAATACATCGATAAGGTAAAACACTTTATCGAAAAAAAGAAAAGAAAATGGTAATCTCGCGCCCAGGGTCACGCAGCCGGCAGCGGCAGAGCACGATTCAAATGCAAGAAGTCCGCATTTGGAGCCCGCGTACTTAACCCGCGCGCCCTGTGACAACCGCACCGGCACCGAGAAAAGTGCTGGAAGAGGGCAGAGGCCGAGCGCGTCGGCCGGGGTTAAACATTACCGGTGGGCGGCCCCTCCCCCGCCGCGCTCCCCGCCCCGGGGCGGCCCGAGCGCAGCCCCGCCCGGCGGCTGCCCAGTGCGCGAGGCGCCGCGCCCGCCCCCGCCGCCGCCGCCGCCGCCGCCACCTGCCGCCCGCCCGCGTCTGCGCCCCGACATGGTGAGGGGGCTCGCGTGCCGCCGCGATCGGAGCAGCCCCGTTAGGAACGGGTGCGCGGGAGGGGCGGAGGAGAGGAAGGGGCCCGCGCAGGGTCCCGCCCAGGCCGGCGGCGAGGGCGGGGCGGGGGGGCAGGGGAAGGCCCCTCCGAGCCCATCGCAGAGCAGCCGCGCCCCTGGCGCGGAGAGTCGGGGTGTCCCCCGCTCCCACCCCCTGGTGGCGCCCCAGGGAAAGCTGAGGCTGAGAGAGGGGCGAAGGCAGGCCCGGGTAACAGCGAGGCGGGAGCCCAGGCCTGGCCCTGCTCCCAGGCCGGTGCCCCCTCGGCGCCTGAGTGCTGCGGACGGGGGTGGGGCGGTGGGCCCGGGGCCAGGGTGGGGAGGGGCAGCATAGTGAGCCCGCAGATATCGTCCCCTTCGGTGGCACGGTTCTGCTCCATATTGGAGGTGAGGGGAAGGCTGTGTGTGTGAGTGAGAGGAGGAGATAGTGTGTGTGTTCCTCTGCGTGTCTGTGTACTGCCCCTCGCTTGCACTTCTGGGCATGGGGGCTGGCCAAGCCTTCTGTGCACCCTGTGCTGGCCCCCACCTCAGAGCCGGCCCCTGGCGCCTAGTTTGAGACCTGTGCCCAGCCACGGGGACATGATTGCTCAGGACGACGCCTCCTCCCCGCTGAGCTTCCCCCCAGGAGGGTCTGGGGCCCTGTGTGCTCAGCTCTTCTTCAACCCTGCCCCCCCGCTGCTCTCAGCTAGGGAGGTGAAGGTGAGCCCCTAGGCAACAGGCAGAGGAGCTGCTAGACCCAGGTAACTCGACTAAATTGCCCATTTCTGGCCCAAAAGCATTAGGAACAGTTGGGACTGTGGTGACACCTGGGAGGGCATTTTGAAGGCTGTGGCTTGGAGGGAGGGGGTGTGGTGACTGAAGCTGACTGTGAGGGGCACTGAGGCCCCAAGGATGGGTAATCAGTAACCCCTCTGCACACTCTCCCAGGGGCGGAGGCCGTCCAGGCCTGACCTGTGATTTACTAAGCAAACACCACCCCTCCCCCTCTCTGATCCCAGATCTCAGAGGGGCTTGTCAGTTCAGCCCCCAGCAATGAAACTTGGGAGATTCCAGAAGACTCTAAAGAGAAAGAGGGGGGCTTCCTAGGAGCTCACTGGTACCCACCCACTCCTTTCAGAGCCAGAGAACTAAGTGGGTTCTGATGCTTTGGCTGACATCTGGTCATCTGGTTGCCTGGATACATGGACCAGGCTTCTCAGCCACTGAGAAAGGGCCAGCTGTGGAACAGAGATGGGGTGGGTGCGTGATGCAGATCTCTACTGCCGGCTCCAGCCTTCCAGAGCCGAGGAGATGGACCAAGCCAGATCAGTCCCGAGGGAACAGGCTTTTCCAGGAGGGAGAAAAGATTGACTTGAGTGCTGCAACGCTTTTCCAGTCCTACCCCAGCCTGCAAGGCCCCTCAGAAGCTGCTTGCCCGAGGGAATCTCTTTTTAAAAATACAGATGACATTCCTTAATAACAGTGTTCACCAAAGTGTCCCATTGGCTCCTCCTGCTGATCTCTGGAGTGGAAGTTCTTGTCCCCTTGAGTGCCACCAGGCCACCTGGCTGGAGAGTGGCAGAACCCAGGCCTGGACCAGTGCTGCCAGCTCACCCCACGGCTTCCAGTCTGCGGGCTGCCTCCTGAAAGCTACACTGACCTCCCTCACGGACTCTCCCAGACCTGACTGACTGATTTTTAATGTAGCCCTCTACAGTTTGTCTTGAGTAGTTCTATTTCAGGAGCCTAAATTCTGGGATCCCTTTAAGCTCCTAGGCCTGCATCCTTCCAGAGGATGGAACTGACCTTTGCCTCCCTCTTCTCTGAGGGCTCCGCTCATGGCCTCAGCTGTGCCAGTGGCTGCCTAGAGGGCACTTTGCACAATAGGTAAATAGGATGAGGCACTAGTTTTGCCAGAAGGCCAAATTACTTCCACTTTTGGGACTGAGCTATGTGGCTTGGGCTTCCCAAGTGGACAGACTAGAAAAGAAGGTGGAAATCTGAGAAGCCTAGGCCTGGCACCTGGGAACCAGAGGCTGCATGGGAGCGTGACAGAGGACCCACTGGGAGGTAGTGCCAGTAGTTGTTAACTGCAGTGTGGCTAAGAATTGCCTGGAACATGTTTTAAGTGCTAATTCCTTTGCCGGGCCCCAGGCATGCAGATGCACAGACCCACGTTGAGAACGATGCCTGTGCTCTCACTGACAGGTTGGGGGGGGGGGGGGGGAGAAGAGTGGTCATTTCCCCTCTCTGGGCCTCAGTTTCCTCTTCCATACACCTGACAGTAACAGTAGAGGCATGGGGTGGACTGGAAAAGGAAGGTTGGACCATCACAGGACTCTTTCTGAAAGGTTGTGTTGTAACACAAACACATCTGGGCTTGATTTTGCTTTTCCTCCCTCTAACGTAAGAGACCTGGGGTTTTTTTTGGGAGGGGGTGGTTCATCTGTAAGGCTTTGGGGGCAGGGGTTGGGGAGGAGTGTTTCTCAGTCCCAGTGTTTGCATTATTCCTCAGGATTTTCTGTCCTGTGAGTGGAGTGTAAAATCTAAGAACCTATCAGTGTGTGAGCCAGGGCCCCACCTCCAGGGCAGGGCGCCACCCTCACACCTCCCAGTCTATTGCTTTATACCAGCTGCCCTTTGAGGGTGTCAGTGGAGGCTGGCTAGATTTCCCCGAAGGTCTGGGGCCCTTTCTTTTGTCCTGTGAAAAAGAAATGCCCTTGGGCTCTGTTCTTCTTCCTCTCCTAGGCTGGCAAAGCACACAGGCTAAGTGCTGAGGAGAGGGAGCAGCTGCTGCCAAACCTGAGAGCTGTGGGGTGGAACGAGTTGGAAGGTCGAGATGCTATCTTCAAGCAGTTCCATTTCAAAGACTTCAATAGGGTATGGCACCAGAGTTTTCTGAGACTGGGCTGATGGGGTCACATTGCAGAATGTGTTTTCTCCCTTAAAGTCCTATTGGCCAAGACTCTGAGAAACGATACTAATCCAGTTTCCTTGGCAGGTGTCATCCTTGGGGATTGGTGTGTGGGGAGATGGGTCTTAGGCTCTCCATACCTAGAACTTTGAGAAAAAATCCTTAAAAGAGATAGTTCAAGTAGGAAACACGTACACCTGAAGACGTTTTAGTGGATAGCCAGAAGATTGGCCAAGACTAGAAACCTCTCAGGTGTCTCCACCTCCTTAGTGATCCTAGTAACAAGACTTTCTTCCTACTGCAGAAAGATCACCTCCAACTCTGGCCTTAGAACCAGTGGCAGGATGCCAGGGGGAGTGATGAAAGTTAGAGGGCTCTGTTTGTAGGGCGCTTGTGCACCCTCCTCATGGAGGCCTCACACTGGCCATGAGAAGGTGCCCAGAAGTCTCTCAGAACACTAACCTGAGTCTCACCTCACCAAACAGGCGTTCGGCTTCATGACCAGAGTGGCCCTGCAGGCCGAGAAACTGGACCACCACCCCGAATGGTTTAACGTGTACAACAAGGTGAGTGGCGCATGCCTGCTGCGCTGGGCCCGCCCACCCGGGATCTGAGGATTCTGGCTCATTCTGAAGGCCCCTTCCTTGGACGTCCCATGAGCCCTCCTCACCCACAGGTTGACTGTCCACTCCTCCTGTTCCATTCATCTCCTTCCTAGAATCAACACAAACTACTCCCCTCTCACTACAAATTAAAGAACTGCAAATTAAAACACTTGTGAGATAACCTGTGGTTAAAGTAGACCTTAAGAAGGCAAAACCCAAGGAAGGAAGGGCTGTGGCAGTCAGGCCTAGTGACTGTTAAGAGCTCTAAATGGCTTCCAGCTTTCTGGAGATATGGAAGAATGAAAAAGTAATAAACTTGAGCTAAGAACACCCATGCACAGCAAACACAGATTGTCTGCTGAATGAATTGAGACAGTCGTTCAGTGCCTGCCATGTGCCAAGTGCCATGCTGGACTCCCTAAGAACACTGCAGGCTGGAAGAGATGGGCTGCAGATGGACAGCATTCGGGGCTGGAGTTGGTTTGGGTCTGGTCTTTAGCTTTTAGGTTGCTCATGCTACTTCGATATTTCTTTTTTATCCTATAGCTGAAGTCTCCATTGTTTCTGGAGGTGTAATAGAAGACAGTTTTGCATTGTTGTTACAGACACGTCAGGCAGGCAGCCCCCAGGCAGACTGTGGACACCGGCCACTGCTCTGGAGCTCTCAGGGTGGCTGAGCCCCATAGCTAGTGCTTCTCCTGCTCTTAGGTGAAGTCAGTGGAATCGGCTGGCCCTGAATCTCTGGTTTTGTTTCAGGTCCACATCACCCTGAGTACCCATGAGTGTGCAGGCCTTTCAGAGCGGGACATAAACCTGGCCAGCTTCATCGAACAAGTAGCAGTGTCCATGACATAGACCCTGCCCTTCCTCTTGGAATTCTTCAGGGGACAGGGGTTACTGAACTGGGAATCTAGAGAGGGAACTGGGGAGCCTCGAGATGTTGATGCAGTCAGAGTTGCCAAGGCGACCCTGCTGCCTCCATTTAGGGGTGAGCTCTTGCTGGGAAAACGGGAGATGCCAGCACATGGGCCAACACCAGGAACTCTTCCCCACACCACTCTCTTCATCCTTGGGGCTCTGTTACATGTACACTAAGTGAAGTAAGATCTTCCCTTTCTTTGTAACTTTCCAGCAACAGTACTGTTTTTTCAGTAATTTTCTTTCCAGGCTGTGTCTTGATCCCTTTTTAGTTTATTTCCCAAGAAGCTGTGACAGCTGTGTCTACGATAGAAACCAAGATCCTAAAGTCAAGCCTATCCTGTGTGACAGAAACATATGTGCTTTTATGCCTCAAATAAAACTATGGTTTTACTTGGCCTCAGGCTCTAGAATCTTCTTTTCCACAGGTCAGTCCAAATTGGAGTCAATATGCATTTAAAGCACTTCCTCTGGGCAATGCAGTGTTCAAGGCACTGGGGGGAAAAGGCCACCAGACCACCCTGCCTTGAAGGAGTTCATCATCATCCTGGGAAATTAAGCAAGAAAACAGTTAACTAGGCAGGATGAATTAATGCTAGATGCAAGGATAAGAAATGAAATGGGAACACACAGCGATTAAGAAGGGGAATCTGGAAGCTTGATTTGAGATGTGCCTTCAAGACCTGAATAGGATTCTGGAGGCAGAGAAGGCTCAGGGAGCATCACGAACAAAGATGAAGGTGTGCAGGACAGTATTATATGCATGGTGTGACCTATGACTAGCCAGGGTGTCATGGGCTGTATATCTTCTTCTGGTCTACAACATCCAATGGTGAGATTTCTAATCCTCATGGTTTCTACAGTTTCTTAGAAACTTAGCCAAAGTCTCAAGGGTCACCTGCTTTTACTCTATAAGGAAGATAAGAAAAGGCCCAGCTTAGGAGGTGACAGGCTATCTACCATCTGAGCAGTTAAGCAGCTGACTCACACAGATCACTCCTCCAGCTCAGTAACTCTAGGGCAGAATGCTCCCACTGATGCGCCGTGACTAGAAGAGCCGAGAGCAGTCTCATCTCTACCCCTGTGTGCATGCCATGTGGGTATTGTCCCACGTATGCCATTATGCAAGAGTGGGAAGCCCTTCTCCCGACGGGCTCTCACCTATGACCTGAACCTGAAGCTGCCTGGGTACTAAGCCAAATGCCAGCGGTCACTGGGACCAGGGATCTAGCAGTGTCAACCCAGTCACCCTGGATGAGTTGGTCCTGCAACAAGGGTGAGAAAAGAGGCAGAGGGTGGTGGTTGAGAAATAAGCGTATTTTTGTTAAGATGGACTAGCAGGACTCCCTTCCCAGCCTACATGCCAGTAAGGATTATCAGTACCTACGTTACTAGCATGTTCTCAGCAAAGCTTAATTTCAAAACCAACAAGGTTCAGACAGCAGTCCCCCATGTGCTCCATGTCTGACATAAATTTTTCTAAGTGTGCTTTGACCTGATGACTGTGTGTTAGGGGACAGAAGCCACCAGACACGGAGGTATGGACCATGTGTACGTCACCTCCCTGCCTCTGCTTACTGTCATGGATGAGAGGTTGAAAAATGCCAACCTAGAGGTCATTCCAGTTGTATGAAGCATCTTTGTGTTAGACAAAGACACAGGAATACTTTTTAGAAATAAATATATTTATTCTAAAATTAATGGAAATAATTGAAATTATAGGGGAGAATGTTAAGGAAAGACTATGAAAAAGAAGAAAGCACAAGTAAGGCAATTAAGACTCCAACTCAAGAAAGAGCTCTCAAACACCTGACTTTTGCTGACCAGGCTCGAGTTGCTGGCTATCAAATTAGGCTCCGTCCTTACTTCCGTCACTACTGGGTCTAGCTAAAAGCGGCTTGTTGCCACTGAGAATCCAGAGAAGGCAAAGGGGCTCCCAGCCGTGAGGAGCATGTACAAGCATCTGGACCCCACTTCTTGGACAGGACAGGCCTCCTAACCAAGCATATCTGGCCCCTCTTTCTCCAGGGTTTACCTCAAAGCAAGTAGGTGCTCAGGAGCCGAGTCATTTGGCAGAAACTATAGCAAAGGTGGCATTCCTTCGCTTGATTCTGGCAAAGTCTGAAAGGGCTGAAAGCCAGAATGCAAAGCTGGGTTATCTGAATAACAGTCTTCAGAACCTGAGTGACCCTTTGGAAAGACTTCTCATTTGTTATTCATAAAGGAACAAGATGCCCAGCGGTGACATGTGCAAAGATCATCTGAGGGGTTCCATTAGCCCCCAAACCAAAGGCAGGGCTTGAAGTCAGTGTCCTCTGGTTAGACAGAGCCACACTGCCCAGGTGGCCGAGACTACCGCAGAGAGCTTAAGGCGTCATTAAGGTGTAAGCAGAAGTGGATGATGATGACAGAACACTTAAGGCAGGGCCCTGGCCCTGGGGAACTAAAGACCTGAGTTCCAAACCACTTTAAAACAGGTATGACCACCCCTTCAGTGGAGCTACCTATGAAAGTGCTTGGAATTGTGCGGGATTGCTGCTCATCATCTCTGCCCGCTGGCCCCAATATCAGTGGTCACAGAACATTTCACCACAAGGGGGCGATGTCTCACCAGCAGGCAGTTCGCCAGCTGCCACCACCCCATCTGGGATCTCCTTTGTGCCGCAATAAACAAATGAATGCAACCCACAGTGATTAAGATTCGGGACATTTAATTACTTAATTGCTTTTTAAGAAATTATTGCTGCAATTAGGAAGGGAGCTTTGAGATGGGAAGGGGGAGGTTAAAGACGAAAGATTTAAAAAGAGGCAAGTACCATCGTCCAAATATAAAATTGGTAATGTTATAAGAGTGACATGGCAGTGTATTCACAGGACTACTTACTTCTAGTGCAGAAACAAGACGGCAGAGTTTTGCAGAGGCCAGTGTGACATCTGCTACATGGTATCATGAAGACATCCCGCCCCCCCCCGCCAGACTAGGTGTTACTACACGTAGATACACAGAATGGAAAGTCCACAACTGTTAGTCAAACTCAGGCTTATGATCAGAAATTCAAGTGGCTACAGTAGGTCCCTTTGAAAAACACCACTGCCCCCCAGCAGCAGTGTTGCCACAGCACAGGAGAAGGTCCTGGAGAGAAACTGGAAGCAGCAGCACACTCTGTAGGGCACGTGCTTCTCCATTTTAGCAGCTGACAAACCACAGTGGTGCCTGCTGGGTGGTTCTGGGTCCTTGGACTTCCTCCAACATAATGAATGCACTAGAGACCCAAGACAATTCACACACAGCTCCCACCACAGGTCCTCTCTCTGGGGGTGCCGACCAGTTCAGCAACTGGAGGGAATGACTCCCATATCCTCGTCTCTCCCCCTCCTTCTCTCTCTCACTCTCTCTCTCACACACACATACACACACGCACACACACAGCCCAGCCCTGCAATGAGATGACCAGCCAGTCAGAGCTGTTGTGTAGGAAGTACGGTGCTAAGAACACTTCAGACAAACATGCTAAGGAGCTTGGGGAAAGTCTGGTCATTCTGGCTCTCCCAGCCAGCATTCTCAGGGAGGGAGGCAAGAGGCTACCAGCCTGAAGAGGCTGAATGTTCAGGAGTCCCTGAGAAGGGTAATGGAACAGAGGAAAGTTTCTCCTGACTTACCTACGTACTCCCCTACCCAAATAAAACCCTCAAAGACTGATCCGTTTCCCCTAGGGCCTAGGTCAGGAATAGCCCAGTGCTGCTCACTGCCGAGGAAAAGGCACACAGTATGTCTTCAGCAGAGTAGGGCAGTGGCTCAACCTAGATCAGGGCCCATGCAGGGAAGAGGAGGGTAGGAAGTGGGTGCAGGGTTTGGTCCTGTCCCTGCACCACCCTGAGCAACTAGTCTTACGAAGGGATCTCGGGCCCTAGACCACAACTGACACTTGCCATCGTGTTCGCCTACTCCAAAAAGTTTCTCTCGTCCTAGACAGGGCTGAGAAGCAGTCAGTACCAGAGGCTAAGCTGCCATAGTACCTTTGGGAGCAGACTAAAGGAGGAAGAGGCAGGAAGAACATACTATGGGGAGAGAAAACTTTCCTTGCCTTGGGGCTCTCTCACCCTAGGTGGGTGCGAGGAGGGTGTAAGCCAAGGCAACTTGTGAAGGTGCTCTGAGCTGTTCCTTCACGCGAACACATTCTCATACAAGGTGGCTTAAAGCAATAGGGGAGGGGAGGACCACCATGAACTTTGGTGACACTCATTTGAGTTTGGGTGCTCATCCTACTCTGATACTCAGAAAAGGTTGGAAAAGGGTCTGGTTTCATCACCAGCCCAGGAGGGAGTTCAGGTGGGTTCTGAACACTGCCAATTCAGAGGCAGCACCAGGGCCAGAAAGTCCTAGATTCTCTAGAAACCACATTCTCTTCCCAGTCCATGGAAACAAGAACAAACTAATGGGAGCATAACTTCAAACAAGAATCTCAAAAGATGGTGGCAATCAAGTATCAAATGGGGACTGCAATTGCACAACAGGACCAATGGACCACTCCAAACCCTGCCTTGTAGACTGAGCAGATAAGCTTGCCCACTCCAATCCTGAATGGTAGGCACAACAGCCTGGTCAATCTGTGTCCTAGAAAAATAAAATAAGTTGCAATAAAAGTGACTCTAAGAGAGACAACTAAACTACTCAGCGAGGAGGCGTGAAAACGCCTCCTGCTTAAAGCATACCCAAGACCCACCTGGGAGACAGCGGTTCGCTCAAAGCTTCCTATCCAACCCATCCGCCTGAGATCCCCGAGAAAGCCTTTTTCTATCTCATCAACTGAACTCGGCTTCCCTAAGGAGTCAGGTCAGGTCAGAGCTGCCCCACAAGGATCAAGTGAAGCTGAAAGCCAGAGAGGTTAGAGAAGGAAATGGTTAAAACAACTGCTAGGGTAACATTTAGAACAAGGGCAAAATAATTACATAATGGAATTATTTATCCCTTTATCAAGGGAGGAACAAGAATCCTGAGGATCAAGCTGTCTCGTGGTCTGTCTTGCTGTGCTCTATTGAGCGAGAGCAGATGGTGAAACTGTATGTGGCCTGTTCCACACCCAGAGAATCGTCTGGAGGCCAGAAGTCCCTCAGGGGCAGAAAGGGGTCAGGTTCAGCGGGGTTTTGGAGAACCATTCATCTGGCTGCCTTGAGTTACAGTATCTGTGCTGAAAAGGCTGTCCAAGAAGACCGAGGACAATTCTGCCACCAGGTTCCTGTCAACGGTTGTCTGGGCCATGCCGTAGATCGCACCCTACAAATCCAGTCAAAGCATGTAATTAGAGATGAGGGGTACGGGAACAAAAACGAAGCTATGCTTATGCCCTCCTGCTCCCTGTCCCCCACGTGCTCTCCTCTCCCCTCCATGACCATCCAGGCACAACTCTATCAGGAGACAGCTGGCACAGTAAATTTCTCATGGGTACTTGCCAGTCTGCCTTTCTTCCCAAAGGAACTATCCTATGGATTTTGCTATAGAAAATTCAAGAGAAAACAGGTTTATTGCCTTTCCTGTGTCAAACTTTTCCTTTCAAATGGATACCACCACCACCACCACCTGCCTTTGTACAGCACTTTCAAATTTACAAGGTGCTTTATATATAGTATATCTCATTTGAGACTAAAAAACCCTAGGACTGGGTGAAGCAGAGACCATCAGCTCCAATTAAATAAGGAAAGAGGTTTGTGGATACAGGGCAGAGGCAGGAACAGATTCGAGGTCATATGATTCTTTCAAATCCCCACCAATACCTAAACTTCCACAGGAAGAAAAAACCCAAAGTGTCCCTACCATTCCTGTGGTCTTTGCTTTAGGATTCTTCATGATTTGAGTGACAGATTCCCGGATGTCCTTTAGGAACTGTATGGCTACTCGCTTCCGGGTGTGTACTAACGTGATGCAGAAATGAATACTACGGGAGAAGAAAAGAGACAGAGAGAGATGAACTTTGGAAAAAGGAAAAAAAAAGTCATAAAATAAAGCAGCCCCAAATACAGGAATTTATTGGTTGCTTCTTCATGTTATTTGTGAAAAGTGTAGGCATCCAAGTTGTTCCCAGTCCTGGGACCCAGGGCTCTCAAATACATGTGTTGTCAAGTATGGGCCAGCAGGAGGGCTTCTCAGCGTGATCAAGAACCATCTGGATAGAATGAATACAGCTGGCTGTTCTGGCCCACCCCTCCCTCCAAAACTGTCAACAGCTATTCCTTCAACCACCAATGGGATGCTTTTCTCTTAGATGATAAACCCTCACGGGGACAGGGCCGTAAGGCTGTGGTCCTGAAGGACTTCAGGGCAAAGAAGAAACTGTAACTCTCCCTGGAGGGAGACAGAGGGATTGTGAAGAGGAAAGAGAAGAGTCCAGCGGGGGCTGGCAATGGCACCAACATGTGAAAGGATCATGGGTACATGAAGGACATGGGGAGACCTAGTCCACTGGAGTGGAGTGTGTATTTAAAGGCATCATGGAAGATTAGGTTAGAAAAGCATGTTAAAGAAGACAGTCGTGGCCCTGAATGCTTAAAGGCCCTCTGGAAGGTTCTAAGTTGACTATTACTCAGGTACCAAGTCAGTTTATAAGAGCAATCTGATGGCTGTGTACAAGATGGATCAGCGAGTATGGAGCCTAGAAAGAGAGTGGAGTGGGGGATCTCATTACCAACCACTGGTCTCAAGAGGCTGCCATCTTATTTTGCCAGAGTTTAAAACTAATGGTCTCATTCTTGATACTGAATAACGCCAGGTGGCAAGACAGAAATCCTGTAGATACCACAGTTGCCACTAATGTGCTGGGCTCTAGCAGTCAATCTCTGTATTTCAGGTCTCCTTGCCTCCCAAGTTCTTCAAGTCATGATGTAAAGAAAGCGAAAGAGGCTTCTTCAAGCTTACCTGGGTGGGAACTGCAACTGGTTCAAGTTCCACCCCTTAGCAGTCATCAGGTTAAATAGTCGGTAGATGTCAAAATCACGGGAGCCCAGAGCAATGACTGACAATTGAGGATTCCCAAAAACAAAGATGCCTTTGATTTTTTCCAGTCTTAAGACAAACAAACAAAGGAACAAAAAGGAAATTCAGCCACATATATTCCTCTGGTCATCATCTCTTTAATCCCCCAGGGGCCTCTGAGGCATAAAAGATGTACTTTAAAAAAAATCTTGGAAAGATAATCCCTCCATCTCTACAGTTTAAAATGTCACTATGTAATCCCTACAGCAAGAAATGGTCCAGCACTTCTCAACAGATGGGTCTATCAGAACCATACGCGGGCCTTTTTCAAATGAGACATGCCTACTGGCCACTTTCCTTCACCCTCAAGATCCTGAAAAAGCATCCCCAATCCCAGTGACATGCAGAGACACAGGCAGGGAATACACAAACGGATATGTGAAATGAAGCATGCAGCCAATTCCAGCCTTAGCTTAGCCCCAGATTTCATCACCCCCGCTCCCCTACTCATTCTGTCCCATCTCTAATTCTTTTCTCATTCCAGTGACTCTCCAAGTGTGATTCCCAGACCAGCAGCATCAGTATCTACTGGGAACTTCCTGGAAATGCAAATCCTCAAACTCAACCCACTGAATCAGCTTTCCAGGAGTGGGGCCCAGCAATGTGCATTTTAACACGGCCTGCAGGTGATTAGGATGCAGGCTTTATTGAGAACCACTGCCTTAACCATTACACTGGATATTAGCACTTGGTAAGAGCTGCCAATTATTAAAGACACCCTCAGAGATGACCTGACCCTCCAAGTCACAGAGGAGCGAGGGAGCTCATCCTCCCAGGCCAGCAACACACTCCTAAGCTGCTGTCCTAAATCCTTGGTCTCTCAGTGGACGGCAAATGGGCTGTGCTATGGGTGCTTGGCCAGGCAGATGCCTTGAGCCTACTCTACTAGCAGACAAAGCAAGAGACAAGGCAGAACCACATCTTCCACACATACTCTGACTTGAGGAAGCGAGCAGTTTTGATGATCTGTTTGGTAGCTTCGACATAGCCGCTCTCACCGAAGTGCATCAAGGCGGCCCAACAGGCTGCACTGATGCCACCAGGCCGTGAGCCTGCCATGGTCGGGGAAGCGTAGATGCCACCCTGCCAATCCGTGTCAACGAAGAACTGGTAGCTCCTATACTTCTTGTCACTGTACAACACCACTGAAGAGCCTTTGGGGGCGTAGCCATACTGAGGGGGAGAAGCAGACAGGTGAGGGTACCGTTCCAGACAGAGGCCTGTCCCAGAACACGTATCATGCACACTTCCTCGTGTGTCAGTTTGTTTCCCACTCACACCAAGAATTCAAAGGTAGATTGTTAAAGGGCAGAGGGAACTGAAAGGATGGAGTTTAAATCTCTATTTTAGGGATGAGGAATCTGAGGCCTAGGAAGAAGAATGTCTTGTCCAGCTAATGCCTTTACTTTCTCTCTCGCTCAGCATGTGCTTTTCCTTATTTAAAACATTACGCCAGGGTGGTATGTCAGGATGGAAGCAAAGATAAATTTCCACTTCCACTGGAAGCCAGGAAAGGATGAAATTCAAGTCACCTGGAGCAACTAAAATCATGCTCTGACTCCCTTCTCATCTTTTTTGCTTAGTATTCCACTTCCTTTTTAAGAACACTATGGTGCTCAGGATCTAGAAGCTACTTAACCTAACTCTGAAATAAACTAGGTACTTGGTTTCCTTATAGCAAACAGGCCATCCTACTTAACTCACACTGAAGTAACAGGGAACTGATCTCACTCCCTGACCCACGTGAGGATGGGCAGTGAGAAGAGGGCACAGGAGCTGTCTGGGTGCCATGGCCAAATGAAGTCATACCCCGACTGAAGATCTCAAGCTGATGATTTAGAGTCTGAAAAACAGGTCTTTACTACACTCTAAAATAAGCTCGGAAACTGCAATCAAAACAAGGCATACATTCCCGAGGCTGCTACTTCTTCCACATCTGGATACAGTTTAAAAGAGTTCCTGACTGATCTAGATTTTGTCTCAGTCCACCAGGGGTGGCAGGCATGGACTTTTCAAACATTACAAGCTGAACATTCCTGAGCACGCAAGTCCTTTTTTTCCAAGGACTCGTCCGTCAACACAGTCCTGTCACTCAGTGCGGAGCCCAGCAGCGTGGGAACTGCAGCATTAGCACACCTCCGCTCAGGAATTCCAACATCAACCCCACCTCCGCCCTCCAGCCCGCACAACCTCGAGGATTCAGGGAATTTTTATATAAGGGCCACTACACTAGCACATCCCAGTTGCACAGTCAGTGGACACAGAAATTCTCTTAGCCATGTGACACGCAGATAGCAGGTCTCTTTTCACTAGTGCTTGTCTCCTCCATCACTACACTTTGTCAACTGAATCAGATGTCCTGGTGAGAGCAGAGTCAGATTTAATTTTATATTTTTGGGGGTGGCTCATGCTTTACCCAATTTATTTTGTTGATAATAGTCAAAATAATCAATTGTCTACTCTGATAACATCTGATCTCTTCCCTCACTCACCTTATGGGTATCAGCTGAAATGCTGGTCACACCTTTCACCCGGAAATCAAATGGTTGCTCCAGTGGGTATCCTGCTTTCTCCATAAAGACGATGAGGAAGCCCCCCAGACAAGCGTCTACATGAAGAGGTATTTTGTATTTGACAGCCAGCTAGTTCCAAAAAAACAAAGACCATGAGAGAATTTCATTTATCGCGTCTAATAAAGACTTTGCAAGACGTGGGTGGAGAGGTGGGCTAGAACCACAGGCCATTACATACTCTCTCTTCCATGTTTAAAAAACTGGCTATTTTTGACACTCCTAATACTGCTCATCTTTCAAATGTATTTAGCATTCAAAATAATTTCTCTGAAATATGCTATTTTATATTTAAAAATGCAAGGGCGTCAAACTCTCTGCAAAGGCAGGCAGGCCAGGCACAGCACTCAGACTCAGGCTGCCTCTGGAGGGGAAGGTCCTGCTTTAACAACAGCAGGCAGGGAAGCGAGGTGAGATGGGGCAGCACGCTGAAGACCACCCTCTGGTATGCCTGCCTCTAAACGCAGATTATTTTCTGATCTGAATGAAAAGTCAGGACTCTGTCAGAGTATCCAATTTAAACAAAGCTTCTTCCTTGTGTTACCCCTCCCCCATAGAGAAGCTGGTAACTTTCAGAGGCTCCAAACAGAGCTGCAGGGCTTCCTACAGGGCTGATGTGCTGAAGTCTAAACTCAGGATGGCTTTAGCTGCCAAGCACTGCACCATTAGATTCTACGGCAGAACCTCAGCTGACTGCCCAGCAGCCCATTCCTCTCCGTACCTTGGCCACTTCAGGGACAGGATCTATGACGCCATGAGGAAACTGGGGGGTAGAGCAGACGAGCATGGCAGTGTTCTTGGAGATGGCTCTTCTCATTGCCTAGGGGTTCAAAGTTTAGAGGAAAATGAGAAGCCACGTCACAATTGCTCTTCTCTTCTGCTGCCAAGAGCAACCTAGGCTACTATTTGAGTTTCAGTCCACTGTGCACCCTCCTTCACCTCTCCAACCCAGGAGAAGACCGCCTCCCCACCACAGGGGCAGAACACAAACAAGGCCAGATGGGTCCATGTGGGAAAAACAGTCTGAGAGCACAATATAAAAAGAACAAAATCACTGTGAGGATAAAAAGAATACTGGGCTAAAAGGCAAAAGAGCCACATGTGCGGCCCAGCCCCTCTTACTAGCAGTGGCACCTGGAGGAAACTACTTCACCTCACCCAGTCTGTGTCCTCATCAGTGAACTGCAAGAACACTAATAACTTCTACAACCTCCCTGGGCTGTCATGAGGCTCAAATGCGATTCTGACAGCACTCTGAAAACTGGAAAGTCCTACACAAATGCAAGGTATAAAAATAATTACTAGAGGGATATTATTCAGCCTTAAAAAAGAAAGCCTGCCATTTGCAGCAACATGCATGAACGTAGAGGACATTATGCTACGTTAAATAAGCCAGGAACAGAAAGACAAATACCGTATGATCTCACTTATATGTGGAATTTAAAACAGAAGCAAAGGGTAAACAGGTGGTTGCCAGGGGCTGGAGGATGAAGGAAATGGGGAAACGTTGGTCAAAGGGTACGAAGTTTCAGTTATGCAACGTGAGTAAGTTCTGGAGATGTAACGTATGGCCATGTGACTATACTTAACCATACTGCACTGTATACTTGAAATCTGTGTAGAGATCTAGAAGGTATCTTAAGTAGTCTAACCGTGAAAAAAGAAGAAAGAAAATAGTAACTATGTGTGGCGATGGATATGTTAAACAACTTGATTGTGGTGATTATTTCACAATGTATATGTATATCAAAACATCAAGTTGTACACCTTAACTACATACAATTTTTTATTTGTTAATTAATTATCAGTTAACACCTCAATAAAGATGGGAAGTGGAAATAATGCTAGTGCTAGTAAATTAGATAGTTTACTTCTGAAAAACATAATTACTATTTTAACGGCAACAGTACTCATCAAGCCAATCAAAATCAGAGTGAGTCTTAATGATAATTTTACAAACCAAGAAGAGCAAGTGATGGTGCTGAAGCAAAGCCCAGGTCTTTAAAGTCTCAAGTTAGCAACCAGCTCACCCTCCTATGAGAACTCTTGAGTCTATGAAGAGACTGCAGCTACAATCCACCACCCCTGCCAACGGCAGTTTTCACAACTCAGGCTGCTACAATCAAAGGCATTTTGAGCCCATCAGTGTGTGACACGGAAAAGCTAGTCAATCAGGTAAACTTCCTGCTTCTCACAGCCCAAGGCAGACAAGAGCCCTTCCGAGGAACTCACCCGAACATCCACCTCCATCATTTTGTTCAGTGGAACCCGAATAATCTTCATCCCAAAATAATTGGCTGCTTTGTCAAATGCAGCATGGGCACTTTGGGGGGCCACACTAAATGACAGGGAAGAAGAGAATAACGAAATTCAGATCAAAATAGGGTTCCAGAGAAAGCAGAGCTAGCAGCTAATCTAAATTACCAGGAGTGAACCTCTGATTATTTTTCCTCAGATTTTTAAAAGTGCTTGTATTATTTTAATTTTCTGTTTAAGCAGAAACAAGAAGTAGTCAACTGATTTTCTACAGAAATTTTCTCCCTACTATTTAGGAAATCATTTTGGCAACAGGAAGAACGCAAAAGTAATCCCACATCAGGGGATCCACAGCATAAATTACGGCTGGCAGATGAAAGATGCGGGGCAGGGAATATGGATCAGTTCCACAAAAGGCAGAGCCTTCTATGGCCGGCTACCTGAAGACAGTACCTCGACGGGAAGCAAGCTTCTGATGTGACACATGTTCTAGCAGAAAATGTAAGACTGCTCGGCAGGGACGTCAGAGCAGCAGTCAAGCATCAGATCAGTGGTCCCCTCCATCTCTGAAAGACCATGATCCTATGAGAAACTAAAATCCCTATTTTTCCTACACACTTGGAAGCAGCACTTTAAATAGTATCGAAAAAGGAAACTTCTCACAGTAAAAGAGTACTTGCTTTCAGACTTCTCTCAGTTACTGCACTCATTTTACAACTGATCTGTTCCCTTTAAGGGAGAAGAATCGCTATTACCGAGTAAGCACAGAGCACCGCAGGTTGACGCACGAAGCAAGATGGTGGCCTGATTTATTCTCTTAGGCTAAGTATGAATCACAGCATGAGATCATGTGTGGCAAAACCCTTAGTCACTGACACTTGTAGGAAAAACATTAACCCAAGAGATGTGGTATAAACACACTGTACGAGGAAAGGGTCAAGACAAAAAAATGCAACTAGATACCAAAATTAGGTCCATGGGATGGCAATATGGGTAAATCTCCAAAAGAGTTTTCAAATTTTTCCCCCCAGAAAACAGCCCTCAGGCTTCTTTAGGGAGCACCCTGAGGCAGCATATTCATATTTTAACTTTCACTGAACTAAGACAAGTAGAGAGCTTTCCTTAGGCTCCAGATAATTTATAATAAATATCACAGGATTTTAAAGATGTAGTCCTATAACTGTCACTTGTAGAAAAAGAATCTCACTCTGCTTACAGTATACACCGGGTATAAACCTGGGGGCTGGCAAAGGGAACGATCTTTAAAGTTAACTGGCTGACCCACTCAGGCTTTTGCTGAATGTCAAGGGATAAGCGTCCAGGGCATAGAACAGGAGGAAAGAGGACCAGAACTGCCAGAGGAAGAGAAGAAGCGGAAAACAGACTGTCAGGCCATTTCACAGAGCAGTAGTCCAACGAGACAAATCTAAAAGGGGAAAAGGACAGCCACACATACATACATTTCTGGAGTTTTGATCCCATTCTCGAAGGCCAGGTCCCGATAGGCTTTGCAGGCCATCAATATGCTTTCTGTGCCCCCAGAGGTCACCTGTAACAAAGAAGAGATGCTATCTATGGAGGGGAGTTAGAGCTGTGGGCACGCACTTCCTGCCTTGATCTTGTCACTGTCTGACGGAGGAACAGATCAGGTCTTGGATGCTGCGGAGCAGACACTGCCACGTCTTCCAGAAGGAGAGTCTGGCTTTGTTGCTAAGCCCAATTTTGGTTCAGAAACAGAGTAAAAACTACTAAGTAAGAATGGGCAGAGGCTCCACAATGTGTGGACAAACAGACATCCGCCCAGACCCACCTGTGCAGCCTCCACTTCCCTTTCCGCAATTCGTCCACTTGCAGGTAGGACAGAGCATTTTACACCACTCAAAACCATCAGGGCTACTGACTTTGCTGTAAATTTTCAATACCCACTGAAGAATGTGAAATTATAAAGCTATAATTCTAGTAAGCTATGCAATACATTACAAGACCAAGAGACATTCATACATTCCAAAGTGAACTTGTGGTTTTGACAAGCTTGAAAGACAAAGAAAAGTAGAAGCCTCTACTTAGACAGAAGTTTATCTTACTTATCTGAAATCAAAAAAAAGCTCCTGTTTTAAATAAAACAAAACTCCTGCAGCTAGGCCTGGCCCCTCTGCTACAGGCGAACTTACTTACCAGAGATGAAACAAACACACTCGGGGGTAGTTTCATCTATCCTCTTTTCCTCACTGGACTACAAACTCACGCAGGTGGGGACCAATCTGTTCATGACAGCATTCCAAGCACCCAGCCTCATGGCTGACGCCCAAGACTTTCCGTTAACATTTCTTAATGCCCAAGGTCACTCTCAGTAAACCATGACCAACACAGGCACATCATACCCATCTGGCTATCCTTCGATAACATCTAAGAACGAATCATTTCAAAATGAACAGAAAAGCAAAGCTGGGGCAATATTTTCTTAGATTTATCATCTCCAAAGATTCACATAATCTTAGATAGCTTTTTCATTTTACAGGTGAGAAAATGGAGCCCCTGAGAGACTAAAGGGATTCACCCAATATCATCCATTAGCATCCGCTGATAAGAAGTAAAACTTTCTAAGTTTTCATATTTAGTGTAGCTTACTATGAGATGGAATGAGAGAGTGACTACTGAAATTTCCTAAAATAACATCCACATATAGGACAAAAATACCATTGGATAGACAATCCCAGTGGTCAAGAGTTACATGGCAGATTAGCTGAGCAAAGTCAGTCATTTTTTGATTCAGGAAGTCTTTATGAAACATGTGACCGTCATCCACAAGATAACACACTGTCTTGGACATCGGACCCTTCTCTGCATTTCTATGCTAGAGAAGACAAAATGCTCACAGTTGAGATCAGCTCTGCAGATCAGCAGCATGTCCTGTGGTCTAGCAGAAAACCTCAGAATGTCACATGTGGAACCAAACCAGTTGTGAAGAAAGTCAGGAAAGGACGAGCAAAGTCCAAGCGTGCAGTGCATCAATCTCTTACTAAGGCCCAGGAATGACCTAAGCAAAAATATTTCCAAACCCCCTAGTCACCCACTTCACATGTCCTATTTTCAGTCCTGTTAACTCATCAAATCAACATCATTATGTGTTAGGCAAACAACAGTGTACTTTTGACTATAAAAGCAGGAACGCCTAAATTCTACTTATAATTTTTATTTCTGATGGCCAAATTCTGTGTTCAAATATGCTACTACTCTCCCATTTCCCTCCATCCTCTGTACCCAAAGAAAAACAGAAATTTAATTGTGAATTAACAAGATAGAAACCTCAATGACTACTTGTTATATTAATCATCTTCTTTCAACGTTTATAAAAACTCACTCTTACATAGGATATGGATGTGAGAAAACAAGGGTAGAACATGACCTATTTGGAAAACTTTCTTTTAGATGCTGTTTGGACCCAATGGCATTTGCACAAGCCAAGACTGTTTTCTGTGGTAACCTAATTTCTTTCAGTATATGAAGCTACCTCCCACCCATTCTAACTAAGGCAAATGAAGTTAACAAAAGGAAAGCTAGTTTAAGGTTGAAGAACAATGAACAAGAAGAGCTTAAGACCTTAGCTGCGAACAGGCTGAAGGCTGCTCAGCCATCTGGCTGTCTTCCTGTTTCCCACCTGTAAACTGAACTTTCTTCACCGAAAGTGGCTCATCAAGAGAGACAGAGGCGGAGAGATTTACAGAGAGAGACAGACTCAAGAGAAAGAGAGAAACTTGAATAATCCCAGAGGTAATTAGTTCTCTTACAAAAGTCTAAGCATTCGAAGGGACTGGGGATTTTTGACTTTATCCTCCTCCTGATCCCTGACACATCCACTAGAAAGGAGCAGAATGCGAGAGGCATGGTCCAAATGCAGCAATACAAAAAACCCCCACAGGCTGGATTTCTGGATTAAGACAGACTGAAGCTACTTTACAGATTTTTTTCTCCCCCAATAACCGTAAGAATGAAGGAAAAAAGCAGTAATTATCTGCCATAACAACCACCAAACAAGAAAAGAGAGAATCTAATGCAATAAACTTCAAATACCGGCAAAACTTTGAAGAAACAAAAAAGAAAAGAAAAAAAGGAACAAGTTTCTAAAGCAGAACCGAGAGCAAAACACAACTCCTAACCCCTCCTCCAAGCCCCGGAGATTGTCCGGTGAGTCAGCAAAATCCTGGGAATTCTCATTAATACCCCTAATCAATTAATAATCATTAATACTCCTAATCTTCAGAGAATCAAGCGGAAGGAGCTTCCTTATTTTCTTTCCTTAGCTTCAGATCAGTGAGTGGTAGCCATGGCCACTAGGCAGAAACAAGCAAAACAGAGAGAGAGAACATCAGGACTGGTTCTTAAAGTGAAGACTTGAGGGACACAGGATGGGCTAAATCATCACAGCCCAAAGGGAATTATTTTCTTCCAACTAGGCAGAGTGAACTCTGGTAGATAACCTTTAACACATTCTCGAAAGACACCTAGAGAGTCTAGTACAGACGGAACAAAGCTTTAGCTGAGCCCTGCCCTCAATCAAACGCTCTCAGACAAGAAAATCACCCACCATGCGTCAGAACAAACAGAATGTCTAGAGAATCACCCAAGCATGAGCCAAGATGAAAGAAAATAGCATGGTAACTATGCAAACATATAAAAAGAAAAAAGTAGTTTGCAAAATAAAGGCACAACTCAGAAGGTACCAACCTAAGGACAGAAGGAAAATCCTCATGACTGTTGTCCCCTACTGGACAATATCATGAGAACATGAATCCAAGAAAACAAGAGTTGAAACACTGGACACTGAAACAACACAATGAGACTGCAGACCTAAAAAACAAAGTACCAAACAGCATCAATACAGAATTAATAAATATATCAGGAACAGAATAAACACCGCTGAGAACAAAAATACTGACTTAGAGGAAAGGTTTAAGATAAGTTTAGTGAACCCAGATAAAAAAGAGAGAGATTGAAAGATCAATGTCATTCCACACTTGGAGAACTATGTCCATCTGGCTGGTCAGAGAGAACCAAAGGAGAATGATGGAGATGGCTGGACATCTGTGAAACCATGTTCTCTAAGGACAGCTGAGTGTCCTAGGAAATACGTGGGAAAGAGAAGATTCGGGGGAAAGGATTTCAAGTATACAAAGGTCTCTCGCGTGGAAAAAAACAATTATGGAACTTCTGTTTCCAGCAACATAGAACATTTGCCTTGGGCGACCCTCCTACCTGAGACAACCAGAAAGCCTGATAAAACATTTAAAAATTTTTTTACATCCACCACTAAGCTAACATAAAGGAATATACTGAATGCCCAAACAAAGCAAAATCAAGAATCCTACAAGATAAGTAAGTACCAAAGCCGGCTTTACCTTCAAGGGTTGCTGCCAACCCCTAGAGACCTCAAACTCTCACTCAGACAAATGGACAGCAGCTAAATTCCAGGCCCGCCCAAGGGAAGAGGTCTAACAGGAGACAGCTGAAAACACTGGGACTACACCCACATTCTCAGGGGTACAGGAAATAAACCCCACTGGTGCCAAAGAGGACAGAAGGAAAAACTGCTTTTCTCAACCCTGATGCACAGGTAAAGAAAAATAAATCTCCCAAGAAGTTATGGGGAGACAGATTTTTGTGAGTTTGTGGTCTGAATTCACATCACACCTCTGCTGTACAAAACTACATGCTGAGAACTGGACTTAAACTGGTTCCAATGTGGTAGCACTTCCCAGCAATGCCCCAGCAACTGGCAGAAGTAATTACAAATCTTTCTGGAAGAACTTAACCTCAGTCTAGGCCTCACAGTTAAGTTCCCAGGAAAATGAGTGGCTCATAGTAAAAAAAAAAAAAACACAAACAAAAACGACAATTATAAAGATACAAGACAACATGAGTGAAACCAGCAGAGCCAGACGGGTAAGGCTCATGGATCACCCAGCTCCAACGATTATCAATTCATAGCTTACCATTCATCACCCCCAACTGCTCCAGCCACTGCTGCTACTGGGAATATCAGATGTTCTAACAGTTATAGGTTACAGGGTCTCTATTTTTTCTGGCTGCTTTTAAACACCAATTAGATGTGTGTTAGCCCTTCTCACTCTGCATGTCTCCTAACCTCTCTTGTACTTTCTACTTGTCTCTCTGGATTTTATTCTGGTAAAGTTTTTTTATCTGTCTTACTCCATAAATTTGACTTATGAACCATGTAAATATTTTATATAGTTATAAATGAACCAAGATTCCTTGGACAAATGGCTAATTCTGGGTCTGGAGCAGGAAATGTACAAGGCGAACCTGGAATATTTCATCAAATAAAAATAATTTGTCAAAAAAAAGGAAAGACATGGCTGGCCCGGTGGCATAGTACTTAAGTTTGCATGCTCAGCTTCAGTGGCCAGGGGTTCACAGGTTCGGATCCTGGGCACAGACCTATACACTGCTCATCAAGCCATGCTGTGGCAGCATCCCACATACAAACAATAGAGGAAGACTGGCACAGATGTTAACTCAAGGACAATCTTCCTCAAGCAAAAAAGACGGAGACTGGCAATGGTTGTTCGCTCAGAGTCAATCTTCCTCACCAAGAAAAAAAAAAAGAAAGGAAACTTTCAAAGACTACTTGAGTCATGCAAAATGACCCAGGAGCCAAAATTAAGAAGCTCCCACTGGCCAAAAATGGGGTAATTTGAGCATCAACCTGAGTAACAACTACAGTGGACTGAAGCATACATAGTATTCTACAATTTACCTACCCTACTGTTGACAGACATTTGAATTAACACTTTTCAACTATCATGAACATGGCTGCTATAAATACACATCCATCCTGATATACACTAGTTTTTCTAGGATATATCCCGAGTAGCAGAATTTCAGGGTCCAAAGATTCGTGTATCTTCAACTTTACTGGATAAGGCCAAACCATTTTGTGTTTAACCTATGGTGTCTTAAAAGGTCATGAAGAGTCTAATAGCACAGGAGAGCACCTATGAACACTAAGTATACTGTCATCTCCCCTCCATGTCACCCCAGCCATCTAAATGGCATAAGGGAATCCATTGCTAGATTATGGTTGGTTCAACTTTTAATACTTTTGGATTGTTTTTGGAGAAATGAATGCCAGGAATACCAGTTTTATTAGCTACTGAATATATGAACATGTTGATTTTTCATGGTGCCAAGACAAAATAAAAACAATACTGCTTACTGGAAAAAACAAAAAGGAACTATAAAATATTCTTATCTTTGGATGGGCCCTTCACTAATTAAATTTGCAGACTATAATGATTATATGAAAGTATCTGATAGGATTAGCACCTCTAGGTTACCATTACAGCATACTGGGTTAAATCTAACTATTCCACACAAGCTGAGATTTAGTTTTCTCTAGAGAAGGCATTATCAGTTTGTTGTAAAAAATCTAGGCAGAAATTTATGAATCACACTTTAGGAAAACTAACAAACATCTACTGGAAAGAATAGCTGAAACAAGGAATCCTCATATGTCTCTTTAAATATAATGATACCCTCTTCCTTTATTCCTAAATCAACTAAATGGGATTCAACTTATATCAAAATAATAAACTTCCAGCTGAAGTAAAACAAGAAGTATATTCAAAAAACTATAAGATGGTTTGACAAAGTTATATAGATAAATGGGTAGGTAGGTGGATGTATAGGGGGTTGAAAGAGAGGGAGGGAGGAAGGGAGAGAAAGGAGCAAAGAGAGCAGACGCAGCAAAATACTTCTATTTAGTTAACGAGAGTATTCTTTAAACTATTCTAGCAACTTGATGTAAGTTTGCTTTTCAAAGTGAAAAACTGAAAAGAAAAAATATCTAGAAGAACATATATTAAAATGTTGAGGGGCCAGCCCCATGGCCAAGTGGTTACGTTTGAGCACTCCGCTTCAGCAGCCCAGGGCTTCACCAGTTTGAATCCTGAGCGCAGACGTAGCACTGCTCATCAGGTCATGCTGAGGCGGCGTCCCACATGGCACAACTGAAGGACCTAAAACTAGAACGTACAACTATGTACTGGGGGCTTTGGGGAGAAGAAGGAAAAAAAAAATGAAGATTGGCAACAGACGTTAGCTCAGGTGCCAATCTTTAAAAAAGAACAAAAATTTTGATACTCTAGATTACAAATTACAAGTAATATTTTAGAACTGTTGTTAATCTGGTTCTTTCTACAAAAATCACATATTACTTGTGTAATAAAATGTCTTGAATAAAATCTTCTATGTTAAGCTACCATAGATAAGATTATTGGATGCCACTTGCATACACTTACACATCCACAGGAATCTGGTCCCCCATTGAACAGGGAACAAGCTATCCTCACAATCTCTGCCTCGATCTTCCGCAGTCCCGGGAAGATATCTGGATGCAGAGGATTACTCCAGGCAAAATTGCCATAGGCCTGCAAAGAAATGCAAGCAGACAGGAAGTAAGACAATCATACTGTATGGGACAAAGAATCACACACTAAACAAGTTTCTAGGTATTAGGAACAACACTACAAACTGGAAAAATGGTAAGATATGTTCCCCAAACTAAAGAAGATCAAAATATAGTAGAGGAGACAGACGTGCAAATAAATTATTTTACAATGTGGTAAGAGAAGTATAAATGTGGTTAAAAGCACAGACTAAAACACCAAACAAACCCAGTTTGAAATCTAGGCTTTGCTTATCACTTCTAGCTATGTAATCTTGGGTCAAATAGCCTCTCTGAGGTTCAGTTCCTCATATGCTAAAGGGGATAATTATGGTATCTATCTGATAGGGTTCTAGCGATATGTCAACAACAGAAGGCATGCAAAGCACTAGTAGAGTGTCTGGCACAAAGGAGCTGTTGCTGTGAGTACAATACCAGATGTATGGACATGATGGTAAGGGGCCTTAAAGAGGGAATAATGGACATCTTAGGTGTTCTGGAGCTGTCTGTTGAATGGAACCTTGAGTGATAAATACGAATTCATCATTTAGAACAGGTGGAATGAAGGAGGGAAAGGAAAACAACGTAAGAGCAAGGTGTATACTCGGTCAAGAGAAAAGGCAGGAGTTAGTGTGTACGTGGGAAATTAAAAGGAGTGGTTGAAAAAATAGGTGGGAGTTGGCTTATGACAGGACTTGTATTTTCTGTTACATAAGCAGCTTGCCTTTTATCCTGAAGATAATGGGAAGCCAGTAACAGATCTTTTAAGCATAGGTGTAAGATCAGAATTACGCAAAGATATAGCTGAGCAACACGTGTAATATTCAGTGAGGTGTGAGCAGCTTCACAGTTATAATAATCAAACACAAAGACCTGAGAGACCATCGGTCCAATACTAATTTTATATGACAAAGTGGGGTTTAAAAAATAAATTTGATTAGAAACGGAAAAAGCTAAAGCCAATTCTAAAGTCAACCAAAAACGAGAATTATTTGAATTATTAGTGAGACTACTGCTCATTCTCAGATCATTTGATTTGAGATTCTGGCAGCAAAAGAAATTATGACCGCATTTCCAACCCTTGTCTCCTGCTATCAGACAAAATTGGTCTTGGCATTAATAACCTCAAATGATGGAACTACCTTCCCTAGTAATCTGCCTCCTACACAGGGTGTCTGTAAGACCTGGAGACGTAAATAATATCTTTCTTTTTTACAGACTGAAGATGTCTTTGACAATATTATGCATATTCACCTGTGTCTGGATAAAGAAAAACTTTCTAAACTTGTTTAGTTTTATTTTAAAAATAAACTTTCCTTAAGTAATTTTTTTTTTTAATTATAAAAGTAAGGAGGCAAAAGTGAGATCCTATAAACCAATACAGAGCACACACACTCCCACTGAGGGCTGGACACTCACCTTCACGAGGAGTTCCGTGAGCTCCTCTTCCCCACTGTACACAGCTCCAGAGGCTTTCCCTTCCTGCCACAAGACATCTGCAGAGAAAGGTACGACCACTGGGTCAGCACGCAGCAACCTTTGGGAAGACAGGTTCTGATAAAGGCGAAATAGGAAGAAACTCCTCTGGGTACAAAAGGAAAAAAAGTTTGAGTGGAAACCCAAAGGCATTGGGATATCAGATTGAGAAAAAGAATCCCAATAAAGAGCTATCACAGCAAAATAAAGACATAAGATCAATTCCTATCAACAGTGTGAAAAAGACATTAACAGCATCTAGGTACAACAAAGCTAGCACAACAATAACGTTGTCATCATCCCCAACTGCCTTCTAACAGCAGAAAAATTTTCCTTGATCCATATTCATTTCCTGTTCTCTGTATGGCTTAGGCTTGACCTTATTCTGCAAGTGCTTCCTTCTTCTCTCCCTTCCTACCCAAAGGAAGTGATATGAGCAGAAAAAAGCAACACAAAAGTGTGAAATTTCAATATACTATCATCAGAGTTGGAGCCAGGGAACTGAATCCCTGACTAAACAAACCATGACGAGATATGAACCCTCGGCATCCTGGTCTCAGGAGCCCCTCCTTCAGAGGAGCGTGGAAACCCACACAGAATTAGCCACCTGCTTCCAGCAACACAGGCTGCGGCAGTCAGGATCAGGAACACAGTCACATGCGGATAAAGCTCGGAGGAAAGGCTCCTGACCAGAATATAAGGTCCAACTTTCCACGTCCTGTCTGAGGTGCTTCCCCAGAGACATTCTACATCATACCAACAAATCTATTGATATGGGCGTCTCCTTTTGCTACGGCATGGCTGAGCCCTACTGAAAGCGAGTAGTGAGAAACCTATCACAGAAACACAGTAACTTAAAACTACATCCATGGGCTCTAGAAATCCAAAATCTTCAGCTCCAACAAGAGAGCAGAACACTGAGCAGTGACTATCCAAACCAACCCCTCATTTTCACCCAATCTGCCCAGCTCTGGCTTGCTGCCAGTGTTACTTTCCCTCTTTCCTTAGAGGACACTGGTCTGTACCATGCATCTCTTCCGACCAGAGGTCTCCAGCCTTTCAAAAGCAGGACACAGTTTCATTTCCTGCTCTTTTACTGGTGCTACAGAGCATGGCAATGGACACTGACTTAAAAAGGGAAGGGAAGGAAATACGGTGGCAGCAATCATGTAAATAATCATAATCATGTAAATCTTTAATATACAGGCCTCACAGTACTAAACCCTGCTTCCTATCATTTATAAATCCCAGACTGTACCTAATTTTGTACCATCCAATGTCAAAAACTCAACATATGTCAATTAGAAATTTCAAAATGCATTTGTTGAAATGTAATGTGGTATCCTGAATTGGATCCTAGAACAGAAAAAAGGACATTAGTGGAAAAACCGGTGGGATAGGACCAGAATTTGTAGTTAATAGTACTGTACCAACATGAATTTTGAGTTTTGACAAATTAACATCAGGAGAAGCTGGGTAAAGGGTACACGGGAAATCTCTGTATTACCTTTGCAAATTTTGTATAAATCTAAATCATACCAAACGAAAAAGCCAATTTTAAAAAAGTATTTGCAATATGATCTTACTGTGCTTGTGTTAATAATAGCTAACATTTATTGAGCACATACTGTATGCCAGGTATTATATATACCTGTATGATCTCATTTAATCTCTATGATCATTCTTTCAGGTGAGTACTATTATTATTATCCCCATTGTAGAGAGAGAAAAACCAAGGCATAGAGAAGTAACTCACCCAAAGTCACACTTTAAGTGGCAGAACCAGGATGTGAATCCAGGCTGATTCCATGGGCTGTACTCGCAAACATTAAGCTGCATTTATCCTTCTCATATGTGCTCATGCATACGTGTACGTGTGTGTGTTTATCACACAAAACACTAACAACATTTTGTTACGTACATATGTATCTCTCATCTGTGTTTATCTTTCCATGACGGAATTACAGGGACTTTTTATTTTCTTTTGTGCCTTCATGCAGATTTCACAATTTTCATAATGAATCTGTATTTCATTTTTATTATATATATTCTTTTTTAAAAAACAAATGTTTCTTTTTTATTCAGGCTTAGAAAAGGAAACAGAACCAAGTTCCACTGTTTCTGAGATTGCTTTGCTTTCTGAATAAAGGATGAATCTAAACATAATTTTTAAAATACGAAATTCAGCCTCTGAGAAAGGGAGCAGGCCCTCCTGAAAGTATATGTACCAGGGATAAACTATTCTTAACCTATGCAAACAGAAACAATGAGCAAACTAGCACCGTTAAGAAAGGAGAGAGCACACATTTGCAGAGAACCATACCCAGACGGCTGTAGTCCTTGAGCTTGTCCAGAACTGCAGACGTGCTCAGACCTTGAGAGGGTAGAGCTCTCACATACTCTTTATCCACTTTGAGGAACGACATGTTCTTGCTAATATCATCCTTGGTCTTGTTCAACTTATCCTGGATCTCCAAAGGTAAGAAAGACAAAGTTAAAAAGGAGACAGAGGAATACAGGAGAGAGAGTAGAGGAACCAGATATGACACCAAGTCAACTGCTTGAGGCTGGGCACCACACAAGTGCTACAAAACAAGGGACGCTATTTTTTCATAAAGAGATGCGACATTTTAACTGTTCAGCTGTTTTCTGGCATGTCCAACAGTCTCTTAGAAGTCTGAAAAGTCAACTTGCTCTGAAAGTCAAAGATGCACTCAATCCCCCCCATTCCTCTGCCATGCTGACATCACCACCGCTTTGTTTGGTTTGCATTTGCTAGAGGCAGCACTTCTCTGACGGCAGTATTTGGACCTTGTTCCCACCCCAGCAGCAGCTACAGTGTGTGCGCTAAAGAAACAAAGTTAGGGCCACGGACAGTAGCCAGAAAAGAGGCCACGCAGCAGTCAAAGGGATTCCGGTGTCTGTGCAAGTGATGAGCTCCTTCCACAGACACGCACAGAGAAACTGGAGGCCCCACACAACTCCCCACAGATAAGCCCAAGCCACACCAGGAAGTGCCAGGAAGCCTGTATTTTCTGTCCTCAGGTTGTCCACAGCCTGGACTGACTGACCCTAAGTGCTACGAGGAGCAAGGTCCTTTCTGCCACCTAATTTATCAACTATGGTTACTTCTCTTCCATCCTCACAGCAACAGCTTCTGAGACCTTTCCTTTCATTCACTCACTTACTCACATACTCAATAAGTATCTCTTGAACTACTACCATGGGCCCAGGATACACAGTGAACAAAATACAGTTAAGCAGTATACAGTGACAACAACTCCTTTTCTCATGAAGCTTCTTTTAGCAGCAGAGACAGAAAATAAAAGTCAGGTCATGAAAAGTGCTGGGAAATAAAAACAAACCTCGAACAGAGTAAGGAGGTAGAATGGCAGGGGCTGCCGACTGTGATAAGAGGGTCTCGGTGGTAGGGTCTGGGGAAGAACAGCAATGTGTCACAAGTTTTGTGTGTCACAGTGATACGGTCTCAGCAACATCTGTTAAAGTTTGGTGCCCAAGAGCTCACTCCAAACTTTAGATTCCCTCATCTCTAGCTGTGCATGACAAGCACACAGGAGGAGCTTCTTAGCTGTGGCCCTCAATGAAACCACAGGGAAGCCACTCCTTCAAAACATGTCTCCAGCAGTGTGACAGGCAGGTGCTGGCAGGGAGTAGAGACCACACGCGTGGGCAATGCTATGGGCATGTGACGGACATGAAGATAGTTTTAAAGTTGTAAATAAAGAATTACGCTGCATAAACGGCAACCATGCAACAGGAACAAACTTTGAAAGCTGAGCTTCATGCATAGACTCTGCTGTTGGAATAAAATAAAAGACAAAAAATGATAGTAAGAGGGCTATCAGAAAGCACGGCAAGTACTTCCCCATTCCCAACTGTTGCCTCAGAGCCTCTATCACGTTTTAATTTCTTCACAGCATTTATTTCAAAATGAAATTCTTATGTATTTGTTTACTTATTTACTTTCAGTCTTTTCTACTAAAATATAAGTTTCACAGAGGAAGGACTTGGTCTTGTTCCCACAATACCCTCAGCACCTAGACCAGCACCTGACACGGAACAGGTGCTCAGTACTAACACGTGTGAACACGTGAACGTAAGTGATGAATGAGAGGGGGACACATACTCACTCAAAACAAGTAACTTTTGTCTCTCAGCTTCAAAATCTGCTTCTAAAAATGAAAGGTGACTATATAGTTTCTAAGTACCTTCCAATTCTGTTATTTTATAAATTTAAGAATAAGTTCTGGAACCCTAGTATTTGTCTCAAAATCTGAAACTGAAGAAGAAAAGCGTGAAGAACACGGGCAGAAAAAATACCAGCAATGATAAGGGGAAATGCTATCATCCTTGGTGATCCAGTCCGTCCTTCGTATCTTCCCTCCCCTCTACCCTTCACTCGAGAAGGACGGAGGGGGTTTAATTTTAGGGCTTCATAAGATTTGGAGTCAAATGAAAGCCCATTGAGTCTCATTCCCCTTTTCCACCCGTTATTGTTTCCACTGCTCCACAGGAAATGAATCCGAAAATACATAGTTCCAGGAGGGTTAGCAAAGTGGTCTGAATGGATTTTAGTCAATGGCCAGAGATAACTGACATCTTCTTTGGTTTGGCCAGGAATGGGGAAAGCGAACTGAAAGCCAAGAGTGAAACAGAGCTTGCAGGAAAGTTGAGGGCGGGGCAGGGACTAAGGGAGATGAAGACCTCAAGGACTCATCTGCTTAGAGCTTGCAGTGGAGCCTGTTTATCTGCACTTGTGATAAAGAACTTGCGGGAAGGGCAGAGGGGTGACTGTCTCCTCCTCAGCGGGGGGAGGGCAGAGAGGAAGCAGTGAAGGGAACACACACTACACTATAGATCGGTACAAATGGCAGGAGAGCTCTGTTCCTCCCTAAGTTTCTAAACCTGGGATCAGTGAAGTATAGCCCAAATCTGACCTATGCCTGTTTTTCAAGGAAAGGTTCACTGGAACACAGCCTAATTCTGTTACCTATCGTCCTGTCGCTGCTTTGCCTCCACAAAGGCAGAGCTGAAGAGTGTGACAGACACGGTAAGGTCTGCAAAGCCTAAAAAGTTCCATACCTAGCCCTTTACAGAAAAAATCTGCCAACTCTGATCTAAACCATCTAAGCACCCAACCCCCAGATATTTAAATTCAGCCCAGTCAATACTGTCCCAAAGCATCCTGTCACTCCTGTCAAGTTTTCTAATTTTAAATTCTTCCTTAACAGACATCTCCTTTCTCCTTTGGTCAAGTACATTGGAGAAAGGGTTAGGTCAGGTTTCTCAATCTTGGCCCTTCTGACATTCGGAGCCAGATAATTCTCTGTTGTGGGGTATGTCCTGTGCAGTGCAGGATGCTTAGCAGCATCCCTGGCCTCTCCCTATCTACTAGATGCCAACAGAACTCCCCTCCAGCCGTGATAATAAAAATGTCTCCAAACATTGTCAAATGTTCCTTGGAGGTGGGTGACAAGATTACCCCTCCCCATTGAGAACACTAGGGTCAGTAAATAGAAAGAAAGAGGGATGATCATGGGGGCAGAAGGGGAAAGAAGATCTACAAAGATTCCACTTACCTTGCGACCAATAATAGGCATCTTCCTGATGAGCTTAAAACATCTCTTTTTAAACCTTGACCATAAACCTAAAAGAAAAAATGGTTCTATTACCCAAATAAATTTCCATGAATATGACTTGCTAGCCCTAATGTCTGAACTATTCAGTATGTCCTCTGCAATCTTACTTGCCTTCAGATCGCAAAGGTAGAGTTTCTTTCCTTTCAAAAAAAAACCTTTTAAATTTAATTTTTTGAATAAGTAATATATTCACATGATCCAAACAAACAAATAAATAAATAAACACAGAGTTAAAAGTTTCCCTCTCATCTATCCCCCAGAACCTATCCTACCCTCAGGCAAACACCACTATTAAGTTTCTGGAATACCCTTCTCGAATTTCTTTATGCATATAGAAGCAAGAATAAAGATATATTCTTATTTGTCTCTCTTTTTACACAAAAGGTAGCATATTCTAACACTGTACTAGACCTTGTTTTTCTACGTAGGAATATTCTCTTAAAGACCAGTGCTTTTCATTCATTTTTACAGCTGTAGAGTAGTCCACTATATGGATATACCATAATTTATTTAACCTGCTCCTTCCTCACAAACATTTAGATTGCTTCTAATATTTGCTATTACAAACCATGCTGAAATAACCTTGTAACACACACCATACTGCATTCATGAGAGTATACCTACAGGATAAATTCCCAGAAACAGAATTGCCAGGTCACATGACATGTATTCCAGAGTTCTTTACCTTCCCAATGTTTCCAGATGTCCAACATTTCTCTTCCCTCCTCCAAAACAAATGACCAACCCATGCTTTTTTTCAGGATCTATGCTCCAGTAACTCAATCAACACATATCCTAGCAACATTTTCTGGACCTAAAAAGGCCTTCAGTATCATGAATACCAATCAGACTCCATTCTGTCAGGTGGTACATAGGACAAATACGGAATTCTGATTCTGTCAATTACAATAATTATAAGTACAGGGCATCTAAATAGACCACTATACCTTTTTGTTTTCTTTAGACTTTTTTTTTTGGTGAGGAAGATTGACCCTGAGCTAACATCTGTGCCAATCTTCCTCTATTTTGTATGTGGGATGCCACCACAGCATGGCTTGACAAGCAGTGTGTAGATCTGTGCCTGGGATCCAAACCCACAAACCCTGGGGCCACCGAGGCAGAGCATGCAAACTTCACCACCACACCACTGGGTCAGCCCCCTATTCTACCTTTCAAAGAATCCACATTCAATATATCTCAACTGCCTCCAACAACAAGACTTTGAGGTTGGCATAGAAGACACTACATACTATCCACAAGCAGCTGAAGATCAAAGCATTAATAACTTGCTCAAGGTGACAGATCAAATCAGTGACGGAGCAGGGATTTAACTGAAGTCTGTTTTTTCAGTCCTAGACCCCCAGGACTCTACACTGCTTCAAATGCACAATAGGAATTTTCTGTTATCCCAAAGAGTCTGTAAGGATTCTAGACCAGCTTCTATGCAAGGCATGTACTGCATATGAACTTTTACTGCATTCCTGGGAGATCTGGTCATTCCAATTTCCCTGGACTGAAGGTGCCCTCTCTCAGCAACCAGAACGTGTCTGGACCTCCTTTTGGCATTGTATGATGCCTGCGTTTCTACCAGTGATTTGTGCTTAGGCTGCCCCCGCGCCTACTTCACTCTCCAGTGCCTACCACTGTGGTCAACACTCTGTAAATGTCTAGGACAAAACCAGGTAACCAAGACACAGACAGAATAAGAAGGCAAAGGAATTGAAATCAATTGTTTGTAGTTACTTTTTTGTTTACATTTTGGGTATTTCCTTTTGGTTCTATGTTCTACACATTGTAACACACAGCTGAGATCTTGCTGTATGTACAATACGGTGTCCTCTTCTCACTTACAGCATTTTCTACATTATTAAAAATTCTTCCTAAACATGTTTTTCAATGTTACCACAACAGTCCATCAAATGAGAATAACAATGTTGCATACTTAAGTTGCTTGTTATTTGACTATGTCTAACAACGTCAAAGCTGTAAAGATTCGGAACCACTCCTTATTTAATAGATCAAGTAATTAATTAATAAGAGAGGTCTAAAAATCAGCAAACTAAGGCAGGTGTCCAAAAGAACAGTTATGTGACTAGGTGGAGGAGAAAAGAATAGACTAATTTTGTGAAAGTTGTGAGATAAAATGGTATGGGGTAAAAAGAACAGAATACAGGATTAGAGACGGTAAAAATGAAAAGATTATGTTGTCATGACCTAAAAAGACTATCTCAAAAGTAAAAGTCCCCAGAGGTACAGAAAGAAAAGTAATTATTATGTTTTAAGGTAATAAAATAGGAAATGCCAGTGTAAGAAAAACAACGCATGGCTCTTTCCAGGTCACAAATGACGCCACTCAACCCTCATATCACCCTATAACTAGGTGAGGCAGGTGTGATTATGCCCATTTTATTGTGAGGAAACATGCTAAGAGAGCTTAAGGGTGTTGCCCACAGTGCCATGGCTGGAAACTGGAGTTTACTGCCTCTTCCTACCACATAAGCCTGATTTCTGTTGGTGAACTACGGACAGCCCCACAGTTAAAATCAACGTCAAGTAGTAGCACACTAGCTGATAATCGGGGAGCAGAATTAAAGCAGAGAGAACACTTTAGAGAGCGACCCTCTGCCCGCCCCTCCATGCCCCAACGTCCTGCCCCTTCCAGTTCTTAATTACTCCAGTGTCTACCCGGTGTTCCAGCATGACCCTCTCCCCCTCAGAAGGGTATTCAGAGTTTGAAAAACAGCAAAATTTATCACTAGTCCAGACTTTAGACTCCTCAGGCAATAAACTAAAAACAACTCAATTGTTCAGTGACACAGAGAATACTCCTAACACGAGCAAGGTGCTGAAAAAAATGGCAATTCTACCAAAATTATCTCTGATCTCTAGAGGGAAGATATTTTCATTTGTGTCTAAAATTCAAGCTGGAAGTTACAAAATAAAAAGTACGTTATGCGTGCATATGTGATAAACTGTATGAAATTGCCAATATTCAACAATTTTTGACCTATTAAAACTATATTTTGTATAGTCCAACCTGATTCAGATTTAAAAAGAGATATAGATACATAAATAGTGGTTATCTCTAGGTAGCAAGATTTTAATTTTTTTCTTACGGCTTATCTATATTGTCTAATTTTCTACAATGAGCACGCACTACTTCTGTAACAAGAAAAAAATGTTATTAAAAATGAAACAACCAAAATGGCCTGGAGTTGAGCTCACAGAGATTCAGACGGCATGCAGCATTAACACACTGCCACTGCTAACTTCTCACGGAATGCTCAGAGGCCAGCATGCTCTTGTTGAACACTAAAGGCAGATGAGTAAGTACCAGGACCTAAGACAGCTCTGCTTCTGCTACCAGTTAAACAAAACACACGCGGGCACTGCAGGCCACAGAACTGAAAACCCAAGTAAATACCTAAAGCGAACACTAACCAGAGAAAAGAAATATCAATCTCAAGATCTCTAAACATAGTCCAGTTTACAAATACACTACCTTAAAGGGAAAGGCACAGAGAACGGTGGCTGTCAGGAGTCGGGGGGGGGGGGGGGTGTAATGGGGAGTTAGTGTTTGATGGGGACAGAGTTCGAGTTTAGGATGACGAGAATGTTCTAGAGATGGATGGCAGTGATGGTTAGACAATAATGTGAATATACTTAATGCCAGTGAACTTAAATGTACTTAAAAATGGGTAAAATGGTAAATTTTGTGCTATGTACATTTCATCACAATAAAAAACAAAGGAGGAAAAGTACATTTATTGCTACTCCTTAGAGTCCTCTGCAATAGGTCACTTCACTTGGAAGGACAGGATGGTGGGCACCACTGAAACCAATGCTTCCCGGGAAAGAAATAAGCCTGAGCAGCAAGACAAGGGTTGGGTCCACTTCCAAACCAGAGAGCAGATGCAGCAGAAGGGCGGTCCATCTAATCTGTCAGAATTTATGAGGGAATCTTTCAAGGTGCAGGAGCAGAAACTAAGGACAGGGTTTTCAAAGCTGGAGTGTACTAAAACGTAGACAGGGCAGTCATGTCTCCTTTCCACTTTAATTAAGTGCAATGTTTACTACGCCATAACTCTGCAATTTTACTAAAATGGCTCAATGGCTATCTGCATGCAAACAGATAAAACAGAATCTGGACTTTCTCGAGGGAAGAGGAAGAAAAGCAGAAAAAGTACAGCTAAAGAGCCCCTTCACACCGATGTTATCAGGGAAGCAAATAGTTACGGAAATTTTAAACAAAAGAGAAACGACAAGCGATTCTCTTCAATGTTACTGGTTTCTTATCCCAAGGAAATGAACTCAGATACCCTATAAGAGTGGGGAAGGGGCGCGGCAGAGAGTCACAGAACACCCACCACCACTCCTACCATTTGTATTTAGATGAAATCAAGCAAAACATACCAAGCACAGCCTGCAGGGGGATAAGAATTCACAAGGAAGTAACAGGAAACCAGATCTCCAGGTTGGGGAAGAGGGGTGGCAGGAGAGGAGCTTACACCTTAGGAAGGATGGAGGATTTATAAGTTGATCACTAAGAGGCTTTCCTTCTGTATTTCCTGAGAAGTGGCCTCTTTCTTCCCCATGTCAATCTGGCTCATTGAATCACTATCCAGGAAGCTCAAGGTGCACTGTTCCCTGATGACAGAAGTCAACTCCAAAAGGACACGGACCTTGTATTACTTGTGTACTTACTCCCCAGAGCCTAGCACAGTGCCTGTCACATAGCAGGCACTCATACTATCACTGCATGAGTCCTGTTCCAATTTCACATAATCTTTATTGAAAAGGATGGCCTAAAAAGAAAGCAATAAATTCCTGCTTGGGAAATTCCAAGTGATACAATTACATTCTAGGCAAGAAACTGGAACTAAAGAAGGTTTAAGCCACACTCTGAGGTATCTGCGGATCCTTAAAATGACTAATTTCTCAGGAGTTTTTATGGAAGCTGCAAATCTAGAAAAATCAACAGTATAGGTAAGCAGTAACAGTTACACAAGAGATAACTTTACCAGTTAGAAGACAATGTCCACTTCCCATTTAAATAAATTTAAAAAATCAGAACCAAACCAAAGGCAAGAAATGAGTCCAATCTGTCAGCCATAAGTTCCCAGGCTAGTAAACTCCGCTCTATCTTTACAGAGGGGACAGCATACTTACTTTCGGGCTGGAAGACAAACTCATAGACCCAGACTATCAGCAGTGTCCACACGACACTCCATGCAATCAGCTGCCAGGGCTCATACTTGGTGCAATGCCCATTCACATAATTCTTGGCTTTTGTGGAATATACTTCCAAAATCTCGAAGTAGGGTTCAAAGGCCTTCTAGAAATACAAGAGAAAAAAGAAATATTACATTAGAGAGAGAAAAGAAGTCTGTGCTTAGGTCTTCAACTCTCATGTTTCAAGGGCAAGGCCATCCACCACCCAGCCCTACCCCAACAATAATCTTATCCTCCTCGAAAGCCCTCAAGCTTCTGCTCCAGTCACTCCAGCACACACATCCCTTACGAGTCACGTGGACTCTGACAAGATTTGTGATCTTCTGCCCATTCTGTAAAATAAAAGGTTAAGCTAGGTCATAATTTCAGCTCTAAAGCTTCTATAAGACTGCAGTACTCATTGTCCCACTCTCTTAACTCAAACTACTACTCTCAGTACGAATGTCCTTCTCTCTACTTTATCAGAATCTCCCATCCTCTCAAGCCGGGGGGTCAGGGAACTGTTTCTCTTAAGGGCCAGAGAGTAAATATTTTAGGTGTTGCAGGCCAAACGGTCTCTGTTACAACCACTCAACACTGCTGTGGGAGCACCAACAGTCAGAGAGAGCCGCTCACCAAATGAACAGGGCTGTGTCCCAATAAACTTTAATTACAGATGCTGAAATTATATGATTTCACATAGCACAAAATAGTCTTCTTCTTTTTTAACAATTTAAAAATGTAAAATATCATTCTTAGCTCAGGGGCTGTACAAAAACAGGCAGCAGACCAGATTTAGCCCATCGGCCAAAGTCTGCCAATCTCTGCTCAAAGGCCCTGTTTGACTAAAAATTCTTAAAGCCAGGCTTGTCACTATGTGTATCCCTCATAATACCTGGCACAAGCAAGAAAAATCCTCTCATCTGAAAATTTACCAGCATCTCTCACTCATGAGAATTGCCTCCCCCATCAAATTCTCTTCTGGAGTTTATCTGCACCTCTACACAGAGCTTATCACAATCTGCCTCGCAGTCCGCTCCTCCCCACGACTGCACAGGTAGGTCTTTGAAGAGACCAGATCTTAGTCATATTTACAAGCCTCAGCGTGCCCTGCACAAAATAAGTTCATCTGATAGCTGGTTACTCACTCACTTATTCAACATTTATCAAGCATCCAGTGTGTAAGGCATCAAGCTGGGGGAGCATTAAGGTAAATACCATAGGTTCTTGCCCCTAATGAGTTTCCAATCTGACAAGAGAGGTCTCTACAGGTATGTGTGTGCATATGCACATACGCATACACACACACACATATATAAACGAGTAAATAAAACTCTTGAGGATAAAGACTATAAAATGGCTGTAAGTTAAGTGTTAAGAGAGACCACTGAGGAAGGCTTATCTAACTTAACCTGAGGGGAGATGGGGAAGATATGACAGAAGATAAAACCTAAGTTGGTTAAAGGGCAAAAGAATGATCAAAGAAAATTCTCCAGGCAGAAAAGCTGAAAGAAAAAAAAGTCATACCAGGAAGAGAGAAGAGCAGCTGCAATTGCATAAAGAGTCTGGGAAGGGCAGAGAGTGGTGTGTGCAGGAGTGTGAGCCAGGTGAGGGCAGGGAGCGAACCCACGGGAGCCAGCGCTACATCTCCAACACACAGCAGAGGGCCTGGCGCACCCCTGTGCTGAGCAAAACGTGGACAGTGGCTGACAGCGACCAAGGAAATGACTGAATACATCCATCAAGAATTGAGGCTGGGAAAAGCGCACCAGGTCCAGATTAAAAACAGCCTTGGGAAGAAAAAAAGGGGGCATGGAGAGTGGGAGTGTAAACTGATAGGCACTTTTTGTAATATGATTTATTGGTTATCTATTAACATTTTAAATGTCTGTTCATTTTGAACCAGAAATTCTACTTTTTGGTATCTACACACTTGTACAAAGAGACATGTTCAAGGACAATCAGGGGTCAGCCTGGTAGCGCAAGGGTTAAGTTTGTGTGACCCACTTTCGCAGCCCAGGGTTCGTAGGTTCAGATCCTGGGCACAGACCTACTCACTGCTCGTCAAGCCATTCTGTGGTGGCATCCCACGTATAAAACAGAGGAAGACTGGCACAGAGGTTAGTTCAGTGACAATCTTCCTCAAGCACAAAAAGGAAGACTGGCAATAGATGTTAGCTTCAGGTCAATCTTCTCCACCAAAAAAAAAGGACATCATTTCCGTATTCTTTGTAAAAATCAGCAAAAGAAAAAACATAAATAACATAAATGTCCATTTATAGAGGAATGGTTAAATAAACTATAATATGCACATTTTATATACCCATCCTATGCACCACTAAAAAGATAGATCTATGTGAACTACATGGAAAATTTCCAGAATAGGATGTTGACTTAAAAAAAAGCAAATTCCATGGGGCCAGCTCAGTAGCGTAGTGGTTAAGTTTGCACGCTCTGCTTTGGCAGCCCAGGGTTCACGGGTTTGGATCTCAGGCCTGGACCTATACATCACTCATCAAGCCATGCTGTGGCAGTGTCCCACATATAAAAGAGAGGAAGACTGGCAGAGACGTTAGCTCAGGACCAATCTTCCTCAAGCAAAAAGAGGAAGGTTGGCAACAGATGTTAGCTCAGGACCAATCTTCCTCACAAAAAAAAGAAAAGGCAAATTGCAGAACAACAAAACAAAAGACATAGGTTTTGCATCAAGAGAGCAATTTTTTTTTTTTAGGATAATTTGGTGGGAGATGAGTACAAGGAGGACAGAGATTAGAGACAAAAATTTTAGTTGAGAGGACTGCTGATAGTCCAGGGGAGAAATAAACTGGGTTTGACCTTCAGCAGTATGACACTAGGGAAGAAAAAGCAGTATGGATTTGAAAAACACTTTCGGACGTGGAACAAACAGGGTTTGATAACATTAGACCTAGGAAGTACCGAGTGGGAAGAGTAGAGATAATTCCAAATTTTCAAGTTCAAGTTTGAGAGACTGGGGAAATGGTCTCACTATTAACCATAGTAGACTAGAAATGGAATGGAAGTTGAAAAAGGCAGAGGAGATTTTGAGAAAAAAATAATATTGGTCTGAATTATGTTCCTATTGGATATCTAGATGCAATTTTCTAGTAGGAGCATGAAAGCTACAAGGAGGACAGGTGTTCAACACAGGTTTGCTGCAAACATTTATACTCTTAGCAATTAGGCTGTGGTATAGGTAATTAACATTAGGCAAGTACCGGGTTCCCTAGAGGGCTATCCATGGAAAATCCAGGCAGTTTAGCTGCAACCTCCTCACAGTTCTTGGTCACCACTCCCCAGAGCCCTCTGTTGCTATCAACAACCTAAATCCTGAAGAGCAGAAGCAGTGCTAAACAAGGGCTGGCAAAGGCCAGAGGAGTCTATTATCATCAAAGGTACTTCATGATTTCCCTCATTATAAAGATTACAATCTTCTAGTGTTAAAGCTGTGATCAAATCAAATGCCTAAATAGTGTGTATCAATGGGATAACGGAAGAACAATCATTCAGATCAGCTTTTCCTGTGGTGATACTAGTTCCTAATTCATCCAGAAAAGAGAGGTTACCAACATTAAAAGAGGACTGTAGATATTATCAACTCTCCACAGCATGGAACAAAAAAGTCATAACCAGTATTAGGGAGAGAGCAAAGAATCAGCAAACCCAAACTAATTTAATTTTTTAAAAGCCTATTAGGATATGAAGGCATTCCATGCTAACATTTATAAAATTATTTTCAGCAAGAATATATTTCCTTGGTAATTGCTATAGGAAGATAATGGGAATCCTTGAATTCAAAGCCCTTGAATATATCTCCTTAACAGGAGATATGTTTCTATACTCTCTTACTCCAAAGACAGAATGATATCGTACGTCAATGGGTCCTAGCAAACTTTTGAGTAGGCAACTAGTTGGTTACAGAAATTACATCTCCTGGCCTCATTCCAAGATCCTTGTACGTTACTATAAACAACCCAGGCTCAGTCCCCAACGAAGAAGCACCTCCCAACACTACAGCTCACTGCATTATTGGGCTCTGTGGGATAATATAGGCTATCTCCTCGGAAAAAAGGATGAGGCAGTTCCCCGGGGGCCTTGCAAATAGCACAAACCCCAGGCTGGATCCTGATGCAATACTCCAGCCCCTGGGAACCCTACAGTCTAAATACTGAAGGGAACTTTAGACACCAAGGCCACATTTTCACTTTACAAAGAGAGGCCCCAAAGTGAAACAGCATGCGTAAGTTCACATGGATAGACTTGTGTCAGAGTGCAGACCAGGAACTCAAGCCTCCTGACTCAGTATTCAGTACTCTTTCAATTTTTCAGTCTCAGTGTTCATGGGTAGAGGGTCACAACATTACAATCCAGTGCCATCCTCAGAGTTTTCTTTTTACAATTTATTTTCTTGGCAGAATCCTCCTTGGCTATACAGTACAGTTTATAACAAACTAAAACTGTATGGCTAGGTGATGACTACAGATAGACATCTAGATAGAGACAGCACAAGAACTTAATAAAACTATAATGATTATTTCCCACCATGCTTTTTTGCTCACAGTAATACATGTTTTGTCTATATACATCTGCATATATATACTTATGATTATAATATGTAGGCTTGTGCTTCTTTCAGCTTAATCAACTTATTCTGTCTCTGGAAACACAAGAACTATGAACAGTCACCTAGGAAGGCCTCTAGCTTACTGCGCAACTCCGGGCAAATTATCTCACCAATCTGTGCCTCCATTTCTTTATCTAGGAGAGACACAGAATAATAGTCGTAAAACAAATCAACCGTGTCTATGTAAACGTGCACCTGTGAGTGTGGGTGCCCCGATTAACAGAACATAGTCCTGGTAACATTTCTGCAAGTAAAACATTCCTTCCTTCACACTTTGTTCTAAAAGTGGAAATGTATTCCTCCAGAGGAAAAAAACAGAAAAAACAAAATACTCTGCCCAATGAATGTGCATAAAATGATAAAGAATACCATAAATCTTCTAAAAGTATAATATTAAAGGAAAAAAGATAAACCTTAGTAGTATGAAGATTCAAAATATCAACTACTTTAAGAAGCTACTGTCAAATTATGAGTCGTCAATT